TCTTCCAATATTGTAGCTACTGTCGTTCTTCTTCTTCTTTCCTTTGACCGCTCGTCGACCCTTCTTCCTTATCAGACCCATACCTAATCTTGTCAGGGAATGTCTTTTACCAGTATGTAGCGGTATACAGAGATGTTTATACCAGTCTGTAGCGGTATACAGAGCTGTTTATACCAATCTTTAGCGATGTACAGAGCTGTTTATACCAGTCTGTAGGCGGTATACAGAGATGTTTATACCAGTTTGTAGCGGTATACAGAGCTGTTTCTTACCAGTCTGTAGCGGTATACAGAGCTATTTATACCAGTCTGTAACATAGTATATGAAGCTGTTATGTTAAAGGTTTTTGATTGATAGTGAACAAAATGTACGTGCGTTAGTTACATGGAGATGTGCTCTATCATTAGAATACGAGAAGACTGATATCTACGATGCTTGAGTTCTGGTATAAATACCTAATCGTTCGAGAAGAAAATTTAGCATAACAAAAACAGTCGAGTCAGAACCTGTCGCACGTTCGACGACCATGATGAGATAATCCGAAAGCATGGGTCATTGCTACCGAGTACTATACGATGCGTGATAAGCGGCCCATCAGGATGTGGTAAAACGAACGTCATGATTAGCCTGTTGGAAAGTCCGAATGGACTGCGATTCACAAATGTGTACGTGTATTCGAAATCGTTACGTCAGCCAAAATATCAATACTTGAACAACTTGTTCTTGTACGTGGGCAAGGACGTAGGTTATTTTGCCTATTCGAACAACGCGGACGTAATCCCTCCGACGGATGCTCGACCGAATTCGATATTTATCTTCGACGACGTTGCCTGCGACGAACAGGATGTTATGAGAGAATATTTTGCCATGGGCAGACATTCGCACGTCGATTGTTTCTGTCTGTCACAATCGTATGTGAGAATACCCAAGCATTTGATTCGCGACAATGTCAATCTATTGATTCTATTCAATCAAGATGTTATGAATCTGCGACACGTTCATCAGGATCATGTAAATACTGATATGTCGTTCGAAAGTTTCAACGCAATTTATTCAAGGTGTTGGCGAAACAAGTATGAATTCCTTGTAATCGACAAAGACAGCCCTGTGAACCGAGGACGTTACAGACGCGGATTTAACGAATTCGTCGTGCTGTGATCTGACTCATTTGGACGGTAAGAGGCGTCGGTTTCACATCGTGCTTCCACTCGATATGCACCCGTCAAAGGAAAACCTGCGAGCTGCCATCGTTAACGAAATAGCTAAGACCAGTGACGTCATTCGTAAACAGAGTTTAGCCTTGAAAGTTGGGAAAATGGATATACAGTCCAACATTGAAACGAATTTACGTCCGATCGTGGAACCGTTGAAACATCTGGTTCAAAATACAGCTACGGAAGCGAAAGATAATACACCAATCGCGGATCGATCGTTGGATTTGCAAACACAGCAGCCGCTGTTCTCTGTGAAGAAAGTGTAGAGATGCATTTGAAAAAGAAGAAGAATAAAGTATATTCCCCCTTCGGTGTCAGCGATGACGTCGACTATGTTGACGTTGACGACAACAACGTCGACGATGCGGACAGCAATATGGTGCTCGAACCAACACCTTCAATGCATCAGGAGAAGGAGGGAGTTTTCGAATCATCTCCAACGGTTGCAACATCGTTGGAATCATCGGTGCGAAATATTTTGAGAAGTCCTGAAAAGCACCGCGACGAATACGAGCATTTGTTCAGTAATCTTGGACCTTTAGCGAGCGAATACTTGAGCAATTTCTTTAGCGGGCCACCGAAAAGTCAGGACAATGTGTACGGAGTGTATTTTCATAATAACAAACTGATGCTTGGAAACGTTGCGTTCGACGTGGAAAGCAACGATGATATTGTTATTAATAAAATTAGGTACAGGGGAACTCCAGGTCTCTACGAATTGATATTCAAAAGAATACCCAACGAGAACCTGTCACCGAGAACGATAAGGAAATTTATAGAAACATTCTCATCGCTACGCATGCGCACCGACGTGATAATCAGATAATGGGAAATGAGGGCTACAAGTACAAAACTATTATACGACCAATGTCCTCGGCGTTACGTGGAAAGGGTATAAATATTCCAACGACGATGATGCGTGAACCAACAATCCGATCGATTATGTGCATTGGGATGACCCAAATGAGCTGGTTGATCATTTGAAATTGTTGATGGCATCGAAAAATGCTGGCCATACCAACTACGACAATGAAATAACATCTATAATCGAAGAACTTCTGAAAAATGAAAGAAATTCAGAAAAATGTCTATTAATAGATTTGGTACGTTGTATAAACAGAGTACGCCCGAGTCGAAAGTATTGGCAGATATTTCAACTTTTTATTCGATATGTAAAAATTATGTACACGACAATGCCATATGCTCGATCGGCAATTTGTACGATGCGCGAGGCGCTAAGATCGCTCGCGTCGCAAATCCTACGACGAACAATGACGCGGCCACCAAACTGTACGTCGATCGCGTTTCGTATTCAATGCAGAATAATGTGATGTGCTTCTCAACGGAATCGTACGCGGCTCGAAACAAGAGGATCAAACATTTGGCGGAACCGCTTCAAAACGATGATGCTGCCACGTTGATCAAGGACTACAATAATCAAAAACATAAAACGTGAATCATAAAAATGAGAAGCATCTTTTATCTATCGTGTACAGTAACGTCAAGATCGCCGGTCCTGCGAAATTCAAAGTTGGCGGCTATGAGCGCATCAGCAAGTTCAAAACCGTATTCGACAAAGGATACACGCCAAACTGGTCAATGGAAGTATTTAAGATCGCGACGGTGAAACGAACGAACCCCGTCACGTACCTTTTGGTTGATTTGCAGAACAAACCTATCGCTGGAGGATTTTACGAATACGAGATACGCGCTACCAAATATGCCGACGTGTATTTAGTAGAAAAA